TCTTCGACTTGGATGCATCACGGACTTGGGCAACTATCATCTCTATGCAGAGTATCTTCAATGAATTGATACTACTGACTTGGATGAATGCTTTTCGCGCATACAAGGGACGATGAACGGCTATCGCGAGATGAACATTGCCCTCAAGATGGATAAGGTATCGCATAAATTTCAATGATTAGTACCCTGCAGCAGGGTGCACCGCGTGGTGGGTTGAGGGATTCAAAGCATTTGAACAGAAGGGGGAGTCGCTCACTGGTTGATTGGCTTGTGAACAGAAGCCGGCGGGCATGTGATTGGGTGCAGGGTAGTACAGCATTTGGCATTTGGCGGTAGTGGACATGGGATGGGACGGAAGGAGGGGGGGGAGGGAAGCTGGGGTGACAGACACTTCCCGTGCGAGCAGATGCGGATGCGCGGGTTTGGCATCTCGATGTTCTGCTCTCCCCCCGTCCGTTGGCACTAATTATGGGAAGCATTGGGGAAGTGCAGATGAACACCTTGGTTCAGAGTGACTCTTCGTCGGGTTTGTCGGACCATTTTAGGCTTCTTCTTGGGTATCATTGCGCCGGACTTCAGAGATGATGACAGCCTTGGGAGCTCCTAGGGCGATTCAGGCAAGGTAAGCATGGCCAGACAGGTAATAAATGGTGCACGGAGCTAATACATAGGACATGATGGCATTGGGGAAATGGACGAAAAAAAGTTTCCCACCTGAGTGAATGACGCGACGTCATCACCCCTCCTCCGTCCTCCGTTGTGGGGTTTACAGCAGCGACTCAAGGACTGCATGGGAGCCCAGGCCATCGGCGACTTTGGTGAGGTGCTGACCAGCTATCATAGGTAGGTAGCTAAAAGCTGCTAAGGTAGGTAGGTACCTTCCGCCTAGGACCATGCCCAAAGCACCAATCTACTCTCACCATCAATCATTGCTACGGAATCTACCAGGCCATCGTCATCTTGTGTCACAAACCATATTGTACACGGTCTTGTGCTCCTTCTCTTCAACTTCTGACATGGGGAATCATCTTTAACCTCAGTCTCATCTCAAATTCCGGCCGTTCCTTACTTAACCAGTAACCTGGAACAGCTACCTACATTTATCGACCTTCATCTGACCTTCAACTCACCCTTTCCGCTTCGCCCGGCCTCCTCCTGGTTGGCGCCCATTCACCTTTTTCTCCATTCACCTTTTTCTCCATTCACCCTTTTCTCCCTTCACCTTTCTACAGCTCTGGTTTACGTTCCAGCCCAGGTTGTCAGAGGCGGCAACGCAAATCGAAAACAGCAAGCGAGTGAGACATCGATAGGTCATCTTTTCTCCGCCAGTGCCCTTCGCCAAGCGGGCCTCTCTCTCTCTCTCTCTCTCTCTCTTTTTTTTTTTCACTTCTCCAAGCTCAACATCATTAAACCCGATTTCTTTCTTTTCCCACTTTTGCATCCGACGGATACGTTCCCAACCTTCATCCTCCTGGCGCTTCCTTCATCAGCAAGCCCCTTGCCCCAGAGAAAGTCAAACCATCTTCGGCTTTGTCGAGCACCGACTACTTTTATCACGAAAAGTTCCCACAAAGTCCACTGTTCAGCTGCTGCCACTTTTCTCTCCCCTCCCTCTCGCTCGACTACGTACCGGGCTGCGAGGCCCCATCCTGTACTTAGGTTACCGACTCTACCCCTACTTGCAGCTTCAAGCAACCCGCAGACGCCTTTTAGGGGAGCACTGCCCCTCATTCCAGCAAGAAGGCACATCCCGGGCACCGCGCCGATAAGACCGATAGCGGTCTGAAAGACAACTGAGGGGCATCGCTGCACCCACAGCCCACCAAGAGCCAGTCGCAGTCATGGGTTTGGTCCATGTGCCAGGAAGACGCTCCAGAGCGTCCAGCCTCAGTGAGTCTTACCAGCCCTAGCGTCACTGCCTGGTCCAGTGTTCTGGATAATAGCAGTCGCCTCCTCCACGTCGCGCCCTTGTGGTCTTCATACAGCGACAAACTCGCGCCCATACTTACACCCTTTTCACCTTACATACTCTTACGGCCTGTTGCCCATCTTCCTATACCCTGCTTGCTTCCCTAGTCGCGTACCTTGGCTTTGGCGTCTTCTGGGAGCCGAAAAGCCTCCAACTCCACTCTCCAAACCTCTGCCGTGCGCAAATCGAGGGAAAAAAAAAGTTGCCTTCAACCATGCTGACCTCTTGGCTTTCCAACCCACCAGCTAGCAATCGCTCAAGCGTCGACGAGGCCAGGGGCGCTGCCGAAGATGACGATACCACTGTGGTCGAGGCCGATCAGGGCAACGGTGAGTGAAGCCTCTGCGAGATCCGTTGCGCCCGCATTTGCCTGCTCACGGGATGCTTCACGCGCACTCGGCTAACATGGGGTCCAGTGCTCGGCCACATCATTTCTCAGCTTCGCCCTGGAGCTGATCTGAGCCGCGTTGTTTTGCCGACTTTCATTCTTGAGCCTCGTAGCATGCTCGAGAGAATTACAAAGTCAGTAATCTCCGAAAAAACCGTGGGATCTGGGGACTCCTTCGCTGACTCTGTGTGTTTGTCGTAGCTTCATGTGCCACCCCGAAATGCTCCTCCCTATACCCGAGATCGACGACCCAGTACTACGATTCGTTTCCGTTGTCAAGTTCTACTTGAGTGGATGGCATATTAAACCACCGTCAGTCCTTCCGAGCTACCCGTATAAGCCGTACACATTGCTGACATGTACCCAGAGGAGTGAAGAAGCCCCTGAACCCGATCCTCGGCGAGGTTTTCTCCTGCTACTGGGATTTGCCCGATAACACGAGAGCATACTACATCTCCGAGCAAACGTCGCATCACCCTCCCAAGTCCAGCTACTTCTACATGGTCCCCGAGCACAACATTCGCGTTGATGGCACACTCAAACCCAGGAGCAAGTTCCTTGGAAACTCGGCGGCGAGCCTGATGGAGGGTACAGCGGTCTTGTCTTTCCTTAATAGGGGTAAGGACAAGACCAAGGGCGAACGATAGTAGGTTGGCTTGGAAGCTACGTGGGATAGGAATACGCTAACCACGAGACCAGCATCTTGACGCAGCCAAACATGTACGCCCGAGGCATTCTCTTTGGAAAGATGAAGTATGAGCTCGGAGATCACAGCTTCGTCCGGTGCCCAGAACTCGACTTGGTCGCCGACATTGAGTTCAAGGTGAAGGGTTGGGTCAGCGGTACCTATAATGCGATTGGCGGCTCAATCAAGCACGAAAGCACAGGCGAAGTTCTCTACGAACTATCAGGATTTTGGAACGATGAGATGTTTGTCAAAGATGTTAAGGTAAGCTTGGAATGCTGCAGCAGTCGTGACGCGTTGCTAACAGCCTCAGACTGGTCATAAGGAGATGTTCTTCAACGCCAGACGATCGAAGCCCAGCAGTCCCCTGGTGCGGCCTATCGAAGAGCAGGATGAGCGCGAATCCCAGAAGCTTTGGGCACCGACAGCCCAGGCTGTGAAGGATCGCAACCATGAGCTTGCGACGGACGAGAAGACCAAGGTTGAAGATAGACAACGTGAGGAACGTGAGACCAGAGCTCGCGAGGGCGTTGAATGGAAGCCCAGGCTTTTCAGGGCCGTTCAGGGCGGCCCGGGTGGTCCTGAAGAAGGCGAGGAAGAGCTGGAGTGGATCATCAACGCTCACATGTGAGTATTTACAACCTTAACGTTAACCAAAACATGCTGAAACAGAGTAGCGACCACACGAGCCCAGAGAAGCAGACCGAACAGATCTTGGCCATATACCCTATTCTTCCGGGCCAGAAGCCTTCTACGGCAAACGCCATTCCTCCCCATCGGCCCTCGGCAATAACAGAGGCCCCAGCCCCAGCCCCAGCCCCGACCCCGGTTCCCGCCGCTCAGCAACATGACGGAGGGAATGACCTGATTGATTTCGGCGACGTGCCAGCTACCACCCCGACGGCCCCAACAGCGACAGCGACTGCGCCTGCGGTTCAACCACCAAGTGGCACTCCTCCGGCCCTTCAGGAGGCGCGGAGTGGATCCAAAGACATTGAAGGGATGCTCAACAGCACCGGAACGCAGGCAAAGGAGGGCCCTTTGATGGACTTTACGGACATGAAGAAGAGCGTGCCGCCGCTTAAGAGAGCCGATGAGAGCAACGACAGCTTCCATGACGCTTTGGAGTAGGTTAGAGCCAAGTTAATCTAGGACGCACGTCCCTCTGGTTCTTCTCCCACCCATCCATCTGGCAACCCCTTTGTGTCAAACATCACTTTCATTCACCATGGGAGGCGGACCTCTGGCTAGAGAGGGAGGAAGAAGGGGGTCGGTCGAGGGGTGGGTTAAACAAATCATAAATCTTTTGCATTGGCGAACGTTCGGGGAAGGGGTTTGGTAGAAAAGGGATACCTCTGTAGATATGTATAGCATTGCTTACTGCTCAGTAATAACGGCATTCAACTGCGGAAGTTTTGGACATTGTCCACTGTCAGCATCGAAGCAAAGCTCATAATGACGAGGATGACGATACAAGGGTTACAGTGGCTCTGCGATTTGGAAGCACTACCTATTCTCACATGTTTTGTTACATGATGCTCTGCCCTTTCAAGAGTTTCTCCCATAGCACCCCAACCCATCCTGGAAACGCCATAAACGCCGCTCTCACCCTTCTTTTTTGGTTCGTCTTCCAATCCCCCCGTTGAGACGGGTACGGGGGGTGGGTATCAAATTCTCAATTTCTGGGGGTTCGCCTTCCACTCTTCCTCCACCTTCTGCTGATTAGATTTGTCGCGATGTGACACGGGACGCCAATGCCCGGCGCTCCAGCCTGAAATGTCGCCAGATAGTCTGTTCTGACCAAGTGAGAAAAGGCAACAGAGCTCCAATCCCGGGTCCATCACTTTTCGCATCCCTTTGTCGCATGAACCGAGGCCCTTTTCCCCACATACGACGACCACACGCTTTCGAATAATGCGGAGCCGACGGACAGCTCGATCCATCTGTTTTCAACCAAGCTCCCTTTCCCTCTCCCTCTCTCTCTCTCTCTCTCTCTCTCTCTCTCTCTCTCTCTCTCTAGTACCGACGGCGCGTGGGTTCGGGGGTAGGCGAGCGCGACGGGCTCCTCTCATCGCGGCCGCGGTCCTTGAGCCACTTCTTGGTGCTGAGGGTGAGGTCGCGGTCGAGATCCTCGGAGGGGTTCTTGCGGTGGATGAAGTTGCAGAAGCCACCGCGGACGCAGCCCTCGCCCGAGTTGAGGCGGCAGCAGGCCTCGCGGAAGTCGGTGACGGGGGAGAGCTCGCAGTATATGGGGCGAGCGGCGTACCACCGCGAGTTGAGGTCGTCGCAGGCCTTTTGGGCAGAGTCTTCGTATTTGAAGCGGGCGTAGACGTTTCCTATAAGGTCTTTGTTTTTTTTCTTGTGTTAGTAATTTGGTCCCTCTCTCTCTCTCTCAACAATCTCAATGAGGAAAAAACAAAGGAGACGACGCACGATCATTGTTATTGTCGCACACGACGAGTTCCTCGAGCTCGCCATATTTGCAGAGCTCGCACCAGATGTCCTCGTAAAAGGCGTCAAAGTGGTTCTGCAGCTGGGACGGGTTCATGCGGTTTTTGGGGTCGTAGGCCGGGTTCTGGTAGAGGTTGGGCATGAGGATGGTCTGGGAGTAGCTGGGCTTGACGTGTTTTCTCGAGCAGCGGTCGCCGTGGCGGCAGGCACCGATTTTGAAGTAGAAGGAGCAGTTGACCTTGTCGAGCTCTGTGCCGAAGATGGAGGCGAGGAAGTTGGCCATGTTTGCGGTTTTCGGAATGCGTTTGGTCCGCTGGTTTCGAATCTGGGCGTTATCGTTTGTTTTGAAAGTTGGAGTTTCCAAGTATGATCCTTCGTGTGGTGATGTACGACTTGCTCGGAGTGCTCGATTGATCGTCGATTGTCTCTTTGACGGCCGCGTTTTTTTGGATGGAGCTGCGGAAATGGGCTTTGCTGGTGTCGCGACAAATGCGACGGACCACAGGTTGGAATTTCTAGCAGCCTCGCGCGCCACGATGATTAGTAATATTGAGGCTGAAGCTCTGCCTGTGGCAGGGATTGGTGGCTGAAAAGTGTGGCTCGAGCAGTAGTGGGTTCCAGGTGGTTCCTGCCTCCCGTCTGGAACGGTGGAACCCCGCTGATTGATTTCAGGGACTGGAATAAACAGAGTACGTACCTACGAGCCGATGGTCTAGAACGTTTTTAATAATTGTTGTTTCTCCTCGTTGTTGTAGAATCCAAACATTCCCAAGGTCAGCCTTACAACGGCTTTTTCTCATTCCAAGTCTAGACATTGGCCGTTATAGATGGTAAATTGCAATGTTCTTCTCATCTAGAACGACCATGGAAGCTTAGTAACACCCAAAACGCCTTGTTTGAATCCATTGCAGCGCTGGTTGTAATGAGTTGCTTCTCGAGCTACTCTTTTGAAACACTGGGTTCTCCTCAACCCAACGACGCCGACTGGAGGATTGACGGATTGGTCTAATGCTATGGAGTATGGGCCGGCTTCCAGATTCGTTTGTGCGTCTGCTCAACTGAATGATGTTCTGCCCACCGCAACTGAAGGTTCACTCATCCGATGATGACGACTTGTCGACAGAAGTCAAAACTCCGAGTTGAACAGTCAAACCTAAGGGTCACGAGACTACATCCCGATGGCAAATCAACAAACACGCGCTTCGCTGAATGATTTCATTAAGGTTTCTTCCGAGAGATGATGAAAATATCCACGGTCTCCGGTGGGAAGACATGGTGAAACCAGTCGTTGGACGCGCTATCTCACTTGCCGACCAGTCGCCGCAGTCCCGCCGTCCCAGACTCCCAGTCACCAACTCTCGGACTCGAAGCCAAGCAAATCCCCTCCAAAATCCACTAAAACACCCCCGAGAGGAGAAGTGGAGCAAAGAACACCAAGCCGTGCTGTGCCATTGGTGCAACACCGGCTAACTGGTGTGAAAGTGAACCCCCAAACGGCCCAAAATCAGTTGGAGGCTTGCTGGGATCCTCCCCGTTGTCGCTGCATCTGTGCTTTCCCACCTCCTGCAGGACATGCGCAAACTTCCCGCCCGTGCGCATCTAACGCGGGCCAAAGTCAACACATCTGTTGCTTCGACAGCCCTCGCGCACACCCTTCCCTCTACCGTCCCCTTCTCTCTCTCCCCTTTTTAGTGTGTACGAATAATTTACACCACCCTCACAGTCCTTCCTTGACCCTTCCGTGTACACTATTTCCCCCTTGTCGACGGAACATCCTAAAAATCTTTTTTTATACCCACGATCGACGCCATTCCCTCCGTCCACATTTGCGAAGGATCTACAGAGAAGCTTCTGCCCGTGTTCCATCTTGCTTGACACGGACCCTCTTCCGCCCATCCTCGAGATCTTCCGTCCGACACCCTTTGCTTTATATACCCCGAACCGAGCGCTCTCTCTCTTTCTCAGCAGAGGGCCATGACTACGACGGACGCGACTCTGTCTTCCATCTGCTGACGACCTTCTGCTCGACACCCGGTCACAGCGCCGACGCTCTTTCTTCCCGCCCCGAACCTGTACATACCTTCTCGACGCCGCTACCATGGATCAGGCCGATATCCCCGCGCTTCTGTCGCGCCTCGCGAGCGACGAGGACGCCGCCCGAAAGATGGCCGTCTTCAAGCTGCAATCCTCCATAAACGATCCTGCCTTTGCCGACGTCTTCATATCCTCGGGAGGACTGGTCATTCTACGACGCCTGATTATGAGTGCGGGAGGAAATACGTTGGCGTACTCGCTGCAGAGTCTGACGCGCCTTTTGGAGGTGGACATGGGCTGGGAGATATTCGAGGGATCAGCGTCAGGGGATCTCGTGGAGCGCATTGTCGAATTGATCGTTACGAATCCTCTTGTCAACATTTTGCGCGGTGCCATGTCGATCCTGGTCGCCCTCGTCGGTCACACACAATCGTCTCGCCCGACGACCCCTCGCACCCCAGGGTCCTTTGGTTTCAGAGCCCTGAAGCCCGCCGTCGCAGTTTACCCGCAGTTCTTTGAGCTCGTTATCGCCCAGCTCCAGTCCGCCGACCACGCGCTGTGCGCCAATGCCCTCATGCTCATCAATGCCATGATCCGCGACGCTGTATCCAGTGACGGCAGTATCACAAAAGCGAACAGCCCTGCCATGGAGGAGTGGTCAAAGTTCATCAAGCGCTTGCAAGATCTCGGTCTCATCAAGGCCGTGTACAACCTGATGCAGAGCTCGTCACTACAGGATCTCGCGCATCCTCTGCTTGAGTTCCAGTCCTTGACCAAGGTTCTGCTGAGGAAGTGGCGGGAGGTGAGGGTTGATCTCGAGCGGCCCGAGCACAGACGGGGACTGAAGGGACTTCACCTTGCCAGCAACCCGGAGAAGCAAGTCAATGGCATTCACCGATTGGACGAGCTCAACGAACTTGGGAAGAAGGGAAGCCGGCGTCATAACCCTGAGAAATGGAGGAGACTGGGCTTCGAAACTGAAAGTCCCACGCAGGAGTTCGAGGTCCCCGGCTTCCTGGGCATGATGGACTTGACAGACTACGTGCGGAAGAACGAGGACAGCTTCCAGAAGATGTTGCTGGAGCAATCCACGAAACCAAGGAACGAAAGGTGCCCAGTCGCCAGGGCAAGTCTCGCGGTCACGATGATCCTGTACGATCATTTCGAGGTGGAGAAGTCGGATGTTGAGGACATTAAGGGTTATCAAGGCTTGGACGGTATTAAAAACAACGAAAAGCTATTCCGTCCGCTCCTTCTCCAGTGGTCGCGTCTTCACACCGCCGGGCTGCAAGCTTTCTTCCGCGTATGGAAGTCCACTGCCGCAGAACACCTAGATTTCGAAAAAGTAGCAGAGCTAGTCCGAATTCTCATCGAGCAAGTTGTCGGCCAGGCAAGCCGGACCAAGGATGTCTTGGAGGTTGAGGAGGAGCTGTTGGAGTACGACTGCACCAGACTGCGAGAGCTCCAGATGGAGCTTTTAGAATTGTCGTTCGAGGATCAGTGGGGTCAGCATCTGTATCAAGTCCGAGAGGAGTTGAGGCAAGAGGCACTTCAATTTGTCAAAGAGCAACGGATTCGATGTCTGCTCCAGGGATCTTGGTTTTCCAAGCCGTTACCACGGCGAGACACCAACCCAAGAGACGAGAACCTGAAGCGTCGCCTGTACACACCGCGGCCATGGCGCTTCGCTAAGCTCTCGCACAACCGCCGGTACCTACACTACGCCGACTTTGAGGTACAGACAGCACAAGATCCGGGTCTTGACATTTTGACGGAGAAGGTCGACCTCAGCACCATCAGCTCAGTCGTGTCCAACGTGTCAGCCTCCAACGAGGAAAGCCGCAGCGCGACTAGTAGTTCGACGCTCAAGAACAACGTGACGGTCAAATCGACAACCAAGATCACCATCTTCAGCTACGCCAACCCTGCCGAAGCTGCCAACGGCGGCGATGCCAAGGAGCAGGCCATCCTGACTCTCAACCCGGTCACGCACAGCTTGGCGTCGGAGTGGCTCGACGGTCTGCTCATGCTGCTCAACCAGGCACCCATCACAGCTGAGACGAACAAGCTCGTGAATCTCGTGAGCGACTTTGGGCTCAAGATCAGGCTGCTCAACGTCAGGATCGAGGCTGCGTACACCGGGCCACCACCAGGTGCAGGAGTGATACCCAGCAGGGACGGTCTCGATGAAGATTACTTCTACGACGTGTGAGATTTTGTGCGATTGGAGGAGTTGGGATTTGGGGGCGGAAAGCGTCCGATTTCCTTTGTGATGCTTTTGTTTTGTGGTTTACATATACCCGCGTTCTTCTCCCGGCTCTGTACCGGACCAGAGATGTAACGAATGGAGCCAGGACGGGGGGGGAAACTCTTTATCAGAGTTTTATATTTTTATTTTCCCCCTGACTTGGCTGCCTACAATGAAGCATAGCGAGCGGTCTAGTTGCGTCGTCAGGTAATCATGGAAAGGCTTGGATTTGGTGGGCAACTTTTCTGAGAGTGCTACATAAATGATGTGCAGGTTTGGTGGGTGTGTTTATAGCTGTGCTGGCAGGGCTTCTTCTCTCTTTTTCTGTCTGTGTCTCTCTTCATGTATGATCATGCCATCCAAAGCTGGGTCTTGACGACTTTGCTCGAGTATATTTCAATACCAAATTCCATAAGTCATGAGTATGAATGAACCAGAACAGATGGCGAGTGTGTGCTCGGTGTACATGTTTCCAAACTCCAGCTATTTGAGGGGTTGGCTTTTAACCTTTATAAGACATGGCGTCTGTAAATAGGAGTTGCACAGATCTTACGATGGTAGATATTTCATGGCGTAGTCAAAACCCCAGCATTTGCATCAAGAAATCTTTGCACTAACCTGCATAAATCAACTTTGAAGACTTCCTTATCATCAGTACCGTAAGTCCATGTACGACACCCGAATTGTTGAGCCTACTCCAGTCCTCTTGTTGTCCGCACTAGGTATACCAAGATCGTCTTGGGCCTACTCCCCTTCAAATCTTTGTAGTGTAGTAAATAATCAAGAAAGCAGTGCTCGTCAGGTTAGCCCATAAATCCAGTTTGAAATCTGTGGTTCCATTTGCGCATGAACAACGTTCCAAACTATTTACTCTACGATCTCTCCAGTTTCGTCGTATTCCGACTCTTCCATCCCGCCGCCCTCTCAAACCCATTCTTGTGGAAATAAAAGTCCTCAAGCGCTTGTTTGGCCTCTTGGCTGCTCGTCACCACAAACGGACCATGCTGCACAACAGGCTGGTCCAGTGGTTTTCCCGCAATCAGAAGAATCCGCGCAGCCAATGTCGCCGTGTCCGGAACTCCCATCCGCACCGCGTCTCCCTCCATCCCAAACACAACAGCCTGGAACTGTCGTGTCTCGTTGCGGTCCTCCTCGGTGGAGGAGCTGACTTGCATAGATCCTTCGACAACGTACGCCATCGCGTTCCAGCCCTGGGGAATCTGCTGCGAGATCTCGCCGCCCGGTTGTATCTGGATGTCGAGGTACCATATCGGCGTATACGTCAGGTCCCTAACACTATCGAGCCCTCCAGAGACACCCGAGATGACTTTCACAGTAACCCTCCCGTCATCAAGTTGCGCAAGAGGAATCTCTTTAGCCTTGAGATCGCGATACCTCGGCTCGCACATCTTCAGATGCCGCGGCAGATCAACCCACAACTGTAATCCCGCCCCGCCGCTTCCATCCTCAGCAGGGATCGGTTGCTCAGAATGCATGATCCCTCTGCCGGCCGTCATGAACTGCAAGTCGCCGGCGTGCAGAACCCCGCGGTGTCCCGCAAAGTCCTCGTGCTCGACGGATCCCTTGAGGATGTAGGAGACGGTCTCCTGGCCTCGGTGGGGGTGGTCGGGAAAGCCTTGGCCGGTGGCGCCGTTCATGTGGTCGAGCATGAGGAAGGGGGACAGGGTGCGGAGGTGGTTGCTTCCGATGGAGCGGCGGACGCGGGCGCCTGCGCCTTCGGATTGCTCTGGGGCCGTGAATATTTTGCGTATTGTTCGGAGGGTCGACATGGTTTGTAAGTGGATGGTTGCCGGAATTCGGTCCTGGTCTCGATGTTGTATGTGATAGGGTGCTGATGGAAAAGACGGTGACTTTCAAATACACGACTGTTGTTCCAATTATGAGACTGAATCATTCACGGAATAATTTAGCTCAAGTCTTCTTCTGGAAAAGCAAACGATACTTGTATGCGAACTTCTCACGATGATGCGCCATTGTAAATGTCGCGTAAGTGCTCCTCTAAGCCGACGTAGTCTGACAAACCCCACCTAGCTTATCAATTTGCTCCATTTCACTTAACGCTTACGAATGCTTACAACATGCGCTCTGCATGCTTTGCATCTTCACTTGGGTAGTAGCTGATCACGGAGCTATGAACTTTGTCGCCGATGAGAATGAGCCTGCAGTAGGTATCCGTACGGAAAAATATGGACAACGGACATTTAGGGACTGCCGGAAGGGGTCCCGCGCGGGATCTCCAGGCTAAGGTAGTGTGCGAGAGTGGGGCGGGGCGGTAAGATGAATACTTACTTAGAAACTGGGGTTCAAGAGCTCCAGCCGCGCGGGACGATTAGCTTCTTGAAGAACTCCTTGCCCATCAGCTTTCTACGCACAGCTAGTACAGATATAAATGCGCAACATCTCTTCGTTTCTGATTAGCCTTGTTGTGAATATTTTGCAGTAACAAGGTTGAGATTGGTCGCTTGTAAGATGGTCGCTGGCGGTGGCCAGGCTCGTAGGGCGCAGGGCGCTTGGCTGGCAGTGGCATGCAGTCAATGTAGTCGAATTGGCTTCGTTTTTGCCTGCTTTGAAATGATGATTCAATAAAGGTGTCGTTGGCCTTGCGTTCTCAGGTGAATCATACGGATTGGTCCGGACAGTTCATCGTATCCGTAGGGCTGGAGAGGCTCCCTCGTCCCATCCACCCCCGGTCCCAGATAATGGCCCCCAATATCCACCCCTGCTCGGTCTGCTTTCCCAGCCCCCCTCAATATTGGAGCTTCAGCCGCGGGGCAGCTTCCCAAACCAACCCTCAAACCCCCCTCGAGACTTACCAAACATCGATAAACTGCGACTTGAAATTGCAGACGCTTCAGCCTATTGAGAAGTGAACAACGACAAAAGTAAACTCGACATTTCAAAGTCCTTTGATCACAAACAAAGTAAACAAACAAAAAAAAGTTTCGAGATTGGCCGGTACCTACCTGAATATGACATCACCCTCCCGAAGCACCTACCGCCCCTGAAACTAAAGCTTCCCCGACAACCACGGACCAACGTCCTCTCTCCCTCCGGACAAAACGCACATGGTCCGCCGCCTCCCGTGGACGCATCCACACCTTAAATTCGGCCACGCCGCCGAAAGCGAAAGCAAAGACAAATCACGGACGTGGGCTACCTTTACAGCCCTCGCAACCGCAACCACTCCCATCAGGAACACCATTGACGACACCGGAACCCGCGATATCAGCAGCTACTTCACAAAGACGACGAAAATGGTCTACCGTACCCCGCGCAGCGGCGGCGGCCGACGGCTTATGTACAACAGCGGCAGCGGCAGCGGCGGTGGTGGCGGTGGCAGCAGCAGAAAGACGACGCCCTATACACCCAACGCCGGCGGCGGCAGGACATCCTCCCCCTCGCCCCCTCCCTCGCAAAAGAAGCGCCTCGACGGTCTGTTCCTCGAAGGGAACTGGTACTGCAATTGCCAACCGCGTCAATCCGCCAAATTCCTACAAGTCAGCAAGAAGACGGCCAACAGGGGCCGGTGGTTCTACACGTGCGAAAAGAGGCGCGGCGGCTGCAATTTCTTCCTATGGGCCGAGGACGCGGAAAATAGGGCCGGGGCGGCGACCATGACGTTGCCGCCCATGCCGCAGGACGGTGCCGCTGCCGGTAATGCTGCTGCTACGCCTCGAGGAACGACTGCTCAGAGTCCGGGTTTGACGCCGCGTACGGCTTCCACCATCAAGCCTGCTATGAGAACAGCTCCTTCAACGGCAATGGAGCCGCCTCCGTCGCCCACGGCGCAACGAAGCGCCGCGAAGCAAAAGTTCATGGATACATATTTCAAGAACCGACCTGTCCAGGTACCCGAGGAAGAACCAAACGATCTAATGGTCACAGACGAGGAAGCCGAGCTCACCACCCCCGCGCAGAGAAAAAGGAAAAGAGTCCTCTTCGACTTTGACTCTGACGACGGCGAGGGGCAGGGGCAGGGAGCTGGTGCCGATGATTACGGCCTAGACGACGTTTCCTCGGACGAGGAGAGGGCCATGACGGAAGCCATGGAACGCAGCGCCAAGAAGCTTCGCAACGATGGTGGCGGTCTGCCTTCCACCCCCGCCGCGCAGCGTACGATCCAGGACGGCGCGCTGCCTACGCCGCAGACCGTCAGCCGAACCCTCTTCCCCGACGCGAAGCGCCGCAAAGTCGACGAGGGTGTCGGCGAGATCTCACCCGGCAATGTATCCTTCTCGACGAGCACGTCGTCAGCTACACTCGGTCGCTCAACAGCGGCAGCGGGACCGGGGCCCGCCTCCTCGCCACCGACCTCGACGCCCCAAGAAGAGCAACTCGATCCAACAGAGGAAGTCATGGCCCTACTCCGCGACCAACAAAAAGGCGGCGGCGGAGGCGGCATAGACGACGCCACCGCGCGCGCTGTCAAAGCCGTGCTGGGCCGGTTCGCGATGAAGGCGAAAGGCCTGGCACGGGGCCGGGACACGGTACGGACGGCGCTCAAGGCCAAGGACGAGAAGATTGCGGAGCTGCAGGAGCGGGTTGCGAGTCTCGAGGCCAGGGCGAGAACGCAGAGGGAGCAGATTGCGGATTTCAAGGCTGGTATGATGGACTTGTACTCGAAGCACTGAAAACCTCGACAAGCCCGCATCGGTTTGCTTTTCCCTTTGGGATATTGTTTTGGTGTTGTTGTCATTACTGGGAAAAGGTTGGTCGCGGAGGAAAGGAGGAGAGACCTCGGATGAAACTCGGATACAGTGAGCCGGCCAGACCAGCCAGCCACTTCATGAAATGCGGGCTCCCATGGTCTTTTGTTGGATGAAGAAGGTATTTTGATGGATGGAGTTTGGAATTGAGGATACCCCCCCCCCCCCCCCGCACGCGAGCCCTTATGTTATGATCTATGGTAGTGAGTAGATAGCAAGTATGAAGAAGATGATTTTCTTCCTCACTACATCTGACTTCCTTTCGCGAACCCCTTTTCTGCGATGAGGGCGAATTTCGTGAAACTTGGCCTTGTACTTGGGGACTCAACCTACTGCCTGGGACACGGTTGATTTTGGACATACTTTGAGGCTCATTATTCGAGTATATGGCTTGACTTCAAAGTGTAGCTTAATAAAGTTACATGGATTGGCGTCATTGTTTCTGAGTCTGCTGAGTTGCCACGCGATTCTAATCGTCACTTCCCAAGGACCAGCCGACGGTAAAGAGGGGAGAGAGACAGAGAGCGTCTAGCTTAATTCAAGAGAGCCAGAAAAAAATCACAGATAAATGTTTCATGTAAATCTTTTAACGAGTTCAAAGTAATTCAGGTATTGTAGACATGAAAACCATTATACGCCAGGGTTTATGGGGCTTAATGCCCTCAAATGTGCCAAACCCGTGAAACCTTTCCCAACCCACCCATGTATTTGTGAACCCAAATTACGAGCCAGGGGATATCATGCTTTCTCTAAAAGCTTACTGGGCAAGAACCTCGCGCAACATGACAAGGAAGTTTTCCTTGAGCTTGTGAACCTCGGACACGGGCGGCTTGGCCGGCTCGCCGGCGCTCCGACGGAGCCTATCGCGTCTCTTGGCCCGGCGACGGCGCTCGGCCTCGATAGGGTCGAGCTCGTCTTCCTCCTCCGCCTCGTCTTCGTCTTCGTCGTCGTCTTCGTCATACGCCATGTCCTCCAAATCCATCTGGTCAAGACCAAAGTCGGAAGAGGAGAAACCAGTGGGGACCAGGTCGGGACCTCCGTTTCCTTCAGCCGCCATCTTTTGTCGTGTCTTGTCGTGGTGCCACTTCTTCCTGGCTTCTTGCCACGAGATGAGTTGGTTAACCTCATCGATGACCTTGGCCTTATCAATGGCACCAGAGCTAACACCTCCCTCGAAGAGCGCATTGACATTCAAGGTGCCATTCTTGGGGCCCTTTCTCAGGAACTCCAAAATGTCCTCGATCCAGCCCATCAGCTGGTCAAACAAGCCGTTGTCATGAGTGTGGACCTCGTGCACAAACTTATAAAAGTTGTGCTCGTGCCTCTGGCAGAGATCAATGAAGGCCTGCACAGTCTGATTCGGGTCTGCCGATGCGTCCTGCTCCTGGCATTTCTCAACAACCTACGTCGTCCGTTAGTGCTGTTACTATGGCATCTCAAGACATTACTTACCTGAATCATGTCGTCAATGAACACAGCAAAGTCAGTGACACTGCTGTAAACGTTTGCCGACTTGTAGACCCGAACAAGGGGTTCGTAGAAAATGCTGAAGAGGTCTCTGAACAGCTGAAGTGTGACCGGCTGCTCCACCAACTGCAGCATCATGGCCTTGTCGTGCTGTCTTGTGCAAAGCTTCAGATACTGCTTGAGGTACGAGAACAACTGAGCACCCTGCTTCAGCTCTTCGTCAATGTTCTCAACGGCGTTGTTGAAAGCAACATAGGCGTTGTAAAGTCGGCCAATCTGTTCCGAGGTAAGACCAGGCTCAAGGTAATCCGAGCGGAGGATCACGACAATCAAGTCGATATCTTCAGCAGCCGCCTCCTCCCTGATGGCAAGTTTGATGTGCTCCTCGGCCTCGGTGTACATCTTGAGCTTGCCAGTAAAGGCCGCATCGCCGATCTTAGCGCCGAGCGTGTCGATAGACTTTTGGAAGCTCTTGATGCCGTCGTTGAGAGTCAAAGAGAAGATGCGTTGGAGCAGCGAACGGGTGCCGAAAGGTTGCGCCAGGAACACGTCCAAGACACCGGACATGACAGCAGCTGGGTTCGCAATTCTGATAACGTTCTTGATGACGGTGTAAGGAATGAGCGAGTGGATCCTCTTGGCTTGGGCAAAAAGCTCGGGAGAGTTGTCTTCAGCCAGGAACAGATGGTAGATCGTGGCTGCGACCTCGATCCGAAGCCACTCGGCAAACTTTCGGTACTGAATGCTCAGGTCCTGAATGGTCTCCTTTTCCTTGATCTCCTTGAACAGTGACGTAAGACCGTTGCGCTCAACAATCTCTTGACGGAACCTGAACACTGTTAGTACTTGGTAGGGGGGATTCAGATGGCGGGATTACGCACTCCTCCATATAGATGTCGAGCTCGGCAGCGCGTTTCCTTGCTACCTCGTAAAACTTCTTCTGCTCTTCCACACGCATCGCATCAACGGCCTTTCTCCGCTCAATATCGTCAATGTCGGCGTCCGTCGGCGTGATCTGGTCCCTGGTGAGGAACTCCTCCATGGCCTTGGTTTGCGCAATCTGGGGGTTCGAGAGCAATGTGCGGATGAATGCTCTGAGAGAGACACGCTGGCTCTCACGCCACAGCGTCACCTGTTCGTTCTTCTTTCCTCCGAGGAATGGCAGGGGGCTCTTGGGCCTACTGTCCGTTGACACACGCGGTGAGTTGCGGCCAGAAGTTGTAGAGCTGGCACGTTTGTGGCCTACACTGGTTAACACTCGCCCCACCGCACGAGTATGAGGAGTACTCACCTAGCACCGACAACTTGGAATGGGGTTCCTTTTCGTGAGGAGGAAGCCCAGTCATCATGGTCGAAACAGAAGACGCCGAGGAGGCAGAAGAATCCGGGCTTCCACCTCCAGTCAGAGAAGAGAACAGACCCGTAGTCGTCGTATCCGACTTGTTCTTCTTCGGCAGAGTGGGTAGAACTTTGCCCGGCAATTCGAGGCGTAGTCTCTTATGTAACCTGGCGAAATCGCTATATCTTCTACCGATGAAAAACTCGAGCTCGCCCTTTCGGTGGATGCGCATAATGAACTCCTAAACTCAGGGTTAGTGTCTGCTCTGCTCGCCCAAATAGAACCAGACAGTGAAATCAGCTTACAGCGTGCTTGTGAGACCGGATGGTCTTCCTCTCGGACGTGATTCGAACGGCAGCAATGTTCACATCCCAGCCATTGATGTAGTTGCCTTCCGGCAACGCATGCATGACGCCCGTGTCGATGGCATTGCTGTCGACAACTTCAATCTCGGAAAACCGTATCCTTTCCTCAAAGCCGGAGGAAGTCTTGCAGCCGGACACCATCATCAACTCAACGAGCTTCTGACATTTTATAGCCAACTTGCGCCGCTTAGTCTCTTCGAGTCTGTCTTCGGAGGACGAAATGTTCTTCGTAGCAAAGGATTCTAGGAACTGTAGTTGGGGTGGTGGAACGAGTCAGCGGAGCTAGTCCGGAGGAAGTAGGCGTTTTGTAATGGCGCGGGGGAAGCCTTTGCACTTACTACTTGGAGCTTGTCTTGCCAAAACTCCTTCTCTCTGGCCTTGTCGAGAAAAGGGAAATCGCGAACATGGTGTACAAAGATGTAGCGCAGAATAGGGAGCTCTGAGTCGAGGGGGGAGACCTCTCCAACGTCGGATTTGAAGGGGGCGCCGAATCGCTTGAGGGCCGTGGGGGAGTTGAGCTCCGAGATTTCGTACTTGACTTGCTCGGAAACGAGCTCGCGCTTGAGATCTGGCAGGAGGATGTTAGCATAATGGTTTCCCTCTTCTCGTATCATGTCGAAAATGACGGGCTAACTAACAATGCTCTTGCTTTCCCGTCAGGGACTGGCCCGGTGGGGGGATAGACATGTTGCTCTTTGAACGAAGGGGAAGCTCAGTCCTTGTGACCGGGGCCTGGGCCGGGTCTACAGCAGCGCCATTCTGCGGTTGTTCTTGGGATGTCGAAGCCATCAGCGTAGTTTCTTTCTTGTTTCGTGTTGTATGAACCGTTCCCGGGGCTGGCAAGGTCTGTTGGAATGCCCTCGTTGTTTCGGTGCCAAGATCGTGGAAGAGAGAAGAGAGAGGTGTTGCGGATTTGCGGAAGGAAGAAAGGGTCGAGGGAAGGTGGGCAAGCTGACTGGCGTCAGAGCAACAGCTGGGGACCCGCGACGTAATAATCAATTTACGGACGGTACAGCGGTACGGGGGGGGGGGGCTAGGTGACTGAGGTGGTGACTGGGTATCCGTACTTGGGGGCTGGCAGGGTAAGTACCTTGGGCTGGGCACGAGCCGGGTCTCAATAGTGTAGTGCGCGCGGCAGATCCCAATGGGTACCTAGAAGTGCTAGGTAAGTTATGGTCGCAGGGCAGGGAGCGGGCCCAGATCGCAGTGGGGGGCGCAGGCGGTAGGCCGTAGGGTTGCTGTACGTAACGCGCGTATGGCGGGGTAGTTACAGGCGCTGCCCACTAGGTATGGTACTGCGGTGCAGCTCTCGTAGGTAGCAGTGAACGAGGTGGAAGGGGGTACTTGATCTGGTACCAGAAAACCTGAGGTGAATGTACCTTGCCCGCCAAAAGCCAATGCTGCCAGGTGCTCGTCGCGGGGCCCTGTTGGGTTCGAGGAAGGGGGAGCCCGGTTGAAGCCTTTTTTTAGTCCCAGCCCCAAACCGCCTAAACTTTTCTTCACTCGTTACCCTCGCCGTCTTTGGTGTCTGGTATTATCAATCTCCAGGACCAAGAGACCTCCTTTTCTTGGTCTTGCCTCAGATGCTACCCCTCCTTCACCCTTCTAGATGTTAATAGCTCTTGCCAACACCTGGAAGCTGGGTGGCATCAAGGGTATGGCGGGAGCTCGGCAGGTTACGTAGCGCCCAGCAGGTTGGAAGAGACGAGACGGAATGAGCTTAGAGCTCGGTGTAGCTAAGCAAAGATCTGATTGGGCGTTGGAGGTGGAGCACGTAGGTGTGTGCAGTGCGTCAGGTCAGCTGTGAGGCGAAGGAGGATGGATGGGAGGGGAGGGGATAGATCGGGATGTTTTTTTATTCTTTCTCATGTCGCGAGTCGCCTCAAAAAGGCTCAAGCCCGGCCGGGACGGACGTTGGATATCCTTAGCACGGAGAGACGGCACGCAAGCGTCGTTTGGCGGGGTGAGGAAAAACAGTAAAACTTGACAAAAGCAGATAAAACGAGGCAGGGGTCGTTTCTAAAAAAGCAAGGAACCATCTTCCGTAACACGCGGAGGGTACCCCCAAGGAAAAAACCACAGTCCCCAATCCTCGTTTACTTGTACGCTCAACTTTGTAAACTCTGATGCTTCTCCCGCGGAGAGAACAACAGACAAAGTTCAGGGTCCTGTTGCCAGTGCCTGACAGCGATGCGAAGCGAAGCCGAACTGACGCGAAGTTTGGAGGTGCGAATAAGAACGAACGAAGACGAAGGAGAAGAAGCTCACAGCACGGCAGGGATCAATCCGTTCCATGTTGCTGTCACTGCGCAGCAACCTGAGGTGGACTTTTCGAAAAAGCCAAGACTTTCCGCTCCCGCATGCCTTGTTAGTCACCGCTGGCGCTATGGGTGGAAGTCCGGGATGGATAGGGAACTGTCCGGTCCCGCCCACCTTGTATTTCCGGGCTTGCTGATATTCTTCGCTGACGATCTGCTGCGCCTGAACTGTGTGCTGTGACGAATTATTCCCAATTATTTCTCTCCAAGACCCCCAAACAGCCCAGCCACACCGCAGCGGGCCAAGCCACCCCAGCGCAATACCTTAAACATCTCAAGACCACGACTCGAGAGCAGAGACACCCGAATGACGCCGAGAATCGTGGCGGCGACTATGACCTGTCTCTTCCATGTTGTCGAAAATTGGCCATGGGATGCATGACGTCGTGGGGCAGCACACCTGCATGGCCTTAACGGATACCTACGAAGTACTCTCTTCTCATCCAGCCCCAGCGATGCGGAGCCGAGTGCCGAGACCAGACATACAAGAGACACCACACACAACGGTACAGACGGACGCAACGCCCACTGAGCTTCTTCACCAAGCTGCGCAGCCGCCATTTCCTCGACACGCCTCACACACTTCAGCCACAAACAGCTCTTCAACTTTCCTGGTTCATCATTTTATCTCAACTCTGGCCAACCACCACGCGTCCACTCTTGGCCGTGCCTTTGCTTGCCATTTCCTGGTCTAAACCAAAATCACGATTCACATGCAATGTAATGGACCCGCAAAGCAAGCAAGTAATAATACAGAACATAGTCATCAGGTTGCAGAAGGCGAACGAACATGACTTGCAGAAGTTTGCACCTCGCAGCACATCATTCGTTGAAACGAACAAACGTCTTGCCCCCCCCCCCCCCCAGTCAACAAGTCATGAGCAACTACCTAGTAGGTAACCCCACCAAAGAACACATTTGTTGTCAACTCAGTCATCAGCCTCGAAGCTGTGCAAAAGAGCCAAGGCCGCAGACGCGCAATCATTGTCGCCATCAGCTTCCTTGGTGCTTGGCTCCGGACGAGACCGAATCGCCTTATGGGGCAATCGACGTCTAGCGCCGCCCACTCAACCACGTACCTTACGTATCCGCTACGACAAATGGTACGGAGGCTCTTCGTGAGATTCTACGGCCCTTTTTTGGGTGACTTTTTGTTCCTATCTATACCCGCAGTATCCACTCGCCGGGAGACCACGAACATTACCGTGGCCGTGCTTGTCTATTGATGCACAATAATCGCCAACTACGGATAGACTGTGGCTCGGTTCGCCAAAAGACGGGAGTTGGTTCTGTTTCCCAATCTGTTTCCCACCCGCGCCAAACTCTTTCGGCGCCGTACTACGACGGAAGCATGGAATATTTGGGCGGGCTTCTGGAACCCGCGGCCTGCGGACACCCGCCCGGAGGATCTACCTTAGTATGACGAACTACCAAATTTCCAAATTAGCTTTACTTTTCCCACGCTGCCATACTGCGAGGAAATAGGTAGACCGGCACAGCCGTAGAATACCGGAAGAAAGAGACAAAAAAAAACAAAAAAAAAGGAGAACTCCGTTTCCATACGCACCCAACCCTTGCGTCCACCCGGCTACGGTGCCGGGAAGCCCAGGATTTCAAGGGCGCTGTAAGACGCACGGGTGCGGGGCTCCCACCGTCGGGGTTCGGAGCCGGGGGGCGCCTATTCGGTGATCGTCCAGGCCCTAAACAACATGCATAATTTCTCATTTAAGCAATCACCTCGGCAAGCCCGATTTCATAGGGCTGCCGGCGGGCGGGATGTCACATCGCTTCGGGACATCGCCAGCCTGTGGTATCTCTTCTGACAACTACCGATCTGATGACGGCAGATTATCTTCTGCGATTTAATAATTTGATTGACTGGTGACTGCTTGTAAATTTGTAAGATCACACTTTTCGTCTCACGTATTTTTGTTGCTGGACGCGAAGGGGTATGAGTACGAATTCACGACAATCGGGACTTGGTTCGGTTGTTGTAAGGAGTCTCATGTCGTACTCACTAAGAACCCCAGGCATCAATGTGTTACAGTGCAGTCATGGGTACACTCATTAGAAAGATGATGCCAGTGTAGAGCGGTGAGACTCGGGCCGGAAATGTCCCCATTGAACGACGTGCAAGTTCAAAGCAAATCAACTAGTACGAGGAAATCCCCCGGTGTATTATTGAACAGTCACATCTTCAGAATCTCATCGTGTATCAGACATTACGAAGATTACTCATGACGGAATAAATTAAGAATATGCCTTAAACCTGCCCATGAACATACGACAGTCACTACCCACCAGTACCGTACTCATAGAGCCTCGATAACATCGCCAATCTCCTGCAAGTGAGGGAAAGAAGCAGACGCTGTCCATGCTGTCCGCTTAATCGTAAGCTTGTCACACACTTTCAGAATGCGATATTCTTTATTGCGTGTTCGAATATAAGGCACGCTTCAAAGCTCTCCTTCCATTGGGTTGTCAGTCGGCTGCGCGTCTCACTCGAAATCGATCACCTTATATTTACCAAAGGAATTGCTAGAGACAAGCTAAACTAAAACCTGGTTCTTTGATATAATCAACGAAATGCCGCTCTGGAGAAAAAACCGAGTCTGGGAGGAGATCAGATAAAACCCAACGTAATGGAGAATTGAGTCAAAATGAATCCTCCCAAAGCAGCAAAAGCTAGAATCGAAACCAGAACCTTCAATAACAAATAGCATCGGGAGTCGATGCCCTTTGTATGTTCTTGCATGTGATCAGTCGTAACAACTGCGCCAGGCGTATCCTCATTTCACCGCACCGCCCACCTTCTCCTTCCAAAGGCAATCCCTTTTTGACCAGCCATGGGACGAGGTAGATCTCAAGACTGGCGAGCTTTCCTAGAAAGCGGAATTCTGGTCACATCCAGAGACTTACATCCTTCCAACCTCGTGTTAAGACTTCATCTACACGTCAAAATCTTTGACTGCTGCGTATATTCCTTCACGTCTTCGTCGTAATACTACTACCTGTATCTGCATCGTATGATGTCGGTTTTGAGCTACAGGAAAAGCGCTGGCCAAGTTGAATCATAGTCCGCCGCGCTTTCTCAACGGCAACACACAGGCGGGATTGCATGTCCGGTATCTAGGTGAAGGGAAGATACCCTACCCTCTACATTGGAAGAGAATGAAAGCTCCTACAAAAGGTGTTCCGATGAGACGGGCCTCTCCTACGTGCGTTGAATTCGACCAGAGAAATCTCTCGTTATATGAAAGCTTCTGATTACAAATATGTAGGCAAGACGAAGCTTGTCTTGACCATGAACGGAGGATAAACGTGTCTCAGCACGAGATATTACCTCCACATGCGGAAGAACACTTTTCTTTCTTTCTGCTACGCTATAATGCTTCTCGTCCTACTTTTGGGTGTTACGATAACAGGATAGCAGGATATATATTTGCTCAGGGTAAGAGTCTACAGGTCATTGATAGTGGTGTACCAGTCTATTATAAGGAACTGGACTAGTCAAATGAAGAAAGCTAGTATTTGGCACTGCGTAGGAACGAATGTACAGGATACTCTGCCCAAGATTGTGACTGAATCAGAGAAGGACAGAGGGTGTAACCACTAGAAGAAAACCAAACTAAACTCAATGCATTGCCTTCCACAAGCGAATGGTCCACACTGAGTTTGCAAGGAAAGGAGGGAAAACCGTTAGCTACACCTATGACTATCGCAACGAGCTTCCATCGTCACACGTCTCACATCCTTCTTCGTCGTAGTCTCGTGCTAACAAGCCCGGACGATCTCCAAGGGGGGACAGAGGAAGCAGTACACTTTGATACACAGAGGAGAGATTTCCAAACTGCATAGAGAGCGAGTGATACCCAGAGTTCAGTCGGCTACCTAGAATCTGCTCCATCACAAGGCCTCTGGATAGTACATTGATACTTGGTCGACTGAGCATCATCGCGCTACTATACCAGAGGCTGTCGCATAGTATCGAGAAGAAGCTACTGGCTGTAGGCATCTGCGACTAGAGCCATGATGGAGCTCAAGACATGTCCACTCCCCTTTGACACATGTTTGGTAGGAAGTAAAGGCTGGTGACCAGAAGCCCCGGCAAGGAAATAGGGGTAAGTTGCATACTATGCCTAACCAAGCTGCTGCCACACTCGAGATAGTCGCCATCTTGCGAATGAATAATATGTAGTGTAATCAATCAATCTGATAATGCCTCTGTTGTGGGGGTATCAATATTAATATGCAGTAACCGCAATGCCCAAATCCCTTTTCAAACACAGCACATCTCACACGTCAACCTCTCAAAGCTCATCAAACACTCTCAACCGATCCTCTTCCTCCTCCCTCCCCCTCCTATCCTCCCACAAAGGCGACAACTTCGGCGCCCCCTCCACGCTCCGATTCGGCCCCCTCTCAAGCCCCTTCAACGCCCTCCCAGCAGCGCCCTCAAGATCCGCCGGCCCACCGAGATACTGCGCGCCGACAAACAGCAAAAGCAGCACCGCAAACACAACCGACGTGACGATCCACACGGCCCTTAGCCTCTTGCGCGTCTTCTCCTGCCACTCCCGATCAGCCCTCTCCCACCCCTCGATCCGCCGCCTAACAAGGTCGACGCGCCCGCTCAACCCCTCGATCCGCGTGCGCCCGGACTCAATCCGGCCCTGTAGTTGTTCGATGCGCGACTCCTGCTCGCCGAATTGCCCAAAGGTGTCGAGCTGGCCCGCCACGTCCTGCGCCATCTCGTCGGCCTCGGAGACGAACTCGCCCGTCATCTGCCGCGAGGCCACCGTCAGCTCGCGGATCGCCGAGATTGTGTTTTGCAGCATGCTCTTCTTCTCGAGGACCGAGTAGTACGTCTCGTCTAGGCGTCGGGTCGTCGCTGTTGAAAATCCGCTGAGCTCGACGAGGGAGTTCTTCAAGCCCCTATACGTTACACACGATATGTCAGTCCCAAGCTTTCTTCAAAAGACCATCACGGGAGGAAACCTACGCAACCCTGTTCGCGGTTCTGCCCTTCTCCTCCACCAACGCAGCCGCATTATTTACCTTCCTCAACCTCCTCGAAGGCGGCGTAACAGCAGCAGCAGGATTCTCTCCGCCCCCAATCATCGGCCCAACAAGCGCGCTCGTCCTCCGACTCGAATCCGGACTCCTGCTGGGCGTCACATACTCCGACCTCGTCATATCGAGCGAGCTCCGCCCACCCAGACCAACACCAGCAGCACCGCCGGGCGACCTCTCGTCCAAAAGCAGGAGCCTGTCCCTATCTTTTCGGCTCTGCGCGTTCAGGTGCAGCGCGTGCTGCGTCGGGTGGTGGTGGTGACTGTGCCGGTGCCGATGCATCCTCAGCGGCGGCGAGAACTCGGTGATGGAGCGGGTGATCTGGTGCCGCGGTCGTCGCGCGGGGAGGAGAGCGGCGGCGGCGGCGGTGGCCGTGGCGGTCGTGGCAGCGGTGGTAGGAGGGGCGGCCGAAGCAGCAGCAGCGGTAGCGGTAGCAGTGACGGGCGCCGAGATCGGGACCGAAGCTCTCTTATCGTTGGTCCTGCTCTTGCTCTTGCTTCTGCCGTGGCGTTGATGTACGGATAGTTGCTGTTGTTGCTGTTGCTGGCCGTGGTTTTTGGAAAAGTTGGCGATAGCGGCTGCCGTCATCAACGTCGAGGCCGATGCCGACGGCAGTTCGAAGCCGTGGGCACTGTCGCCTTTGGCAGACATGGTTTCGCCCTGTGCTTTTTCGTCCCTTTTCCACTACACCCCCCTTTCAAGAAACTGGATGGAGAGAGATAGAGGCAGGCGCTCCAGCCGCGGCTCCGCCGCGCTCAAAGCAAAGCCGCACACGCCCAGCGACTATGCTTGCTGCCGCCCGCTGAAAGGGCGCAGATTAAAACCCCCGAGCCAGACAATTTCTTTGGTTGGGACGGCCTAGGTAGTTAGACTTTCTGGCCTACGCCTGGAACGGTCAATGCTCTGGGGGGGGGCAAAAGAGATTCACTGGGTGTTGGTGTGTGGCTGTTTCCTTGCAGAAGGAGAGGTCGCAGTGTGAGAGATCGGGGAAAAAAGGTGGAGGTGGAGTGTGCACGGAGATTCCCAGAATCCCAGTGAAAGCTGGTTTGCTGGTGCTGCCGTTCTGCACACCTCTCTACAGGGCCAATGACGCACTTTCACATGCGCCTCTCGGGGTCCTTCCCCGTTGTCATGAGACATCGTCTGAACAAGAACCACCAGCACTTTCCCTGGGGGGACTTGCAAACTGCTGGTCCAGAACCCCCCTTCCCAAAAACGAGGGTCAAGTCATACGCTTATTGTTTCTATGTAACTATGAATCGCGGCACACGTTTGGCTGGGTTTCCTATCGCCGCCATCTGGCCCTTTGATCCGATTTCACCGAGCGAAAAAAATAAAGGCTCGGATGAGTAGCCTCGTTGGGCTTTCGTCGTAGTACACATCGTAGATCATCGCAGATGGGATCAGCAGCTCCATCCCGCCCCTCTCTCCCGTCCCGCCGGCTCCGAATCCGCCTCCCTGTCGCCTGTTGCCCGCTCTGTGGGTTTGCTTTTTGCCGTAGCCTTGGTATCTCCGCGGGGGGTCCTCTCGACGATATAACGTTTGGCCTCGCATGAGCCCCGTGTTGTGTCGAGTCGTTCTGTCGACTGAGCTGTGCAAAATACGGGCGCGTCAGGCCCGACTCTTTTCCTCCACTCCCGAAGTCTGTTTCGGAATTTGTCACGGGGGAACCGGCGCTACTCCTGACTTTTGTCGGCGCCGAGATTCGATCACAGTGCCCGTTCCAACAGCAAGTCTGCCCGTGTGCGGCCAATCTTGCTCATGAGTTGATGAGTTTGTTTCGCTTCTCCTTCCTCTTGAGTCTCTCTACACGCTTCTTGTGCATCTTCTCGGCCATCTTCTCGTATCGCTCCTTCTCTTCCTTGGCGGCTCTTCTGTCCTTGATAGCTTGAACTTTTTGCTGCGATCGCTGTCAGCTAAATAGCCCTTGAGAGGAAGAGGCGCAGTAAAGCATTCTCATACCTTGCGCTCTGCCTCCTTCTCGTCCTTCATCTCCTTCTCCTTGGCCTTCATCGCCGCCATCGCGACGCGGTCCTTGGCGCGCTTCTCGTAGGAAGTCAGGCCTGATGTTGGCCTAAAGGCCTTCTTCGTCTCGTGCCATTGCTTGCCTAAAGGAAGAAAGAGTTAGCTTCGAGTTGTCGGATGAGCCCAAGAATGGAGCTGATGAGGTACCATTCTTCCGCATGCCAAGCGGTTTGTCGACAGCGGCAGTAGCAATTTGGGGCTCCGCAGTAGACATGATGACTGGTGTTGAAGAATTGCAGACTCCAAGGCTGAGGAACGTTAATTTGCGTAGTCGAGTTTTCAACGTGCAGCGGGCGGCATTGAAGGACCCTCGCGCTGAACAGAAAATTTCTTGCAATGAGAGGGAATGCGGCGGGCGGGGCGCAAGGCTGCCGTCCAACCAGTTAGGCTGCGTTTCCTCCTTGTGGCGGTGCGAGTACCCAGAAAATAAGCTACGGTGCATGTGGCTGAGGGAAGGGTGCCAAGGTGCTTCTCAGGGTCCTTTCTCCGCTCTGAAGCCAGATGTGCATGATAATGGCACCGCTTCGTAAGAGAAGCAACATTGATGCGACCTTCGAGGTTGGGAATATTGGGAAACCGAAAAATTGACAAGGAGTACGATCTTCATGACTTAGATGACGATGCTCGACCGTTTCCGCGATATACTTTGGATCTATCGCCTACAGCTGACTCGCTTCTTCACGTAGCTGTGCCTGCGAGAAGCCTTTCAATCGAGTCTCGTCATCAATAACCCGATGTCTCCGCCGTTTGAGATGACGTCCGGAGCTTGTTTCCAAGAAATTTGTGTCATTCTCTTTACGCCGCCGTCCAACGGTTGTGGCTCATGGCTGAGCCTGGCTTTGAGACATCATATCGATTGGTGCCTCTAGGAAAACGCAACTTCAGCCGGGAACTGGCATGAAGGACTGGCTCGTGGTGTATGGCGTTGAAATTTGGCTCTTTTCAATTCAAGGGAACAGCAACAAACCAATCAAATTGCGGTTGAGATTTACCGCACTCCAGGCAGACAATCTCATGTCCGACGATGTGGCGGCGCACGAGGCTGCCGAAATGACATTGAAAAGACATTTCTCCTATCCCCAGCTGCCAACTCGGCCAAGAATATAAGATTCTGGAGTCGGGATCCCTGCCGCCCGAATCAATCGAACGCGTGCCTTGTCCTGTCAAACTTGGATATCCCAGGCATCGAACCCCAGGTTCCCGATGTTTAGAGCCTCTAATGATCCTCGATGATGATTTCTTTACTGGTAGGCGCAGGGATAACGGAGCGAATATTGACGGGGAATTAGGTAAAGACAGCTGGCACAAAAAATTTGAACAGCGGCGGCACCTAAAATTTGTGATGACTTGGCCACCACTTCATTTTATTACCGAGGCGTGGGGTCATGCTAAAAGCGGCTGCTGGTCAATCTTGCAGGCGAGATTAGTTTGGGTCACCCGCAATTCGACCGGACCCGGCATGCTGAGAATTGCCGCCAGCAAGCGTTGACAACCTGACAGTCTTGCCAAAGGGCCACCGGCTGGCAGAAGCGTAGGAGAAAGTTGGGTGAAAGTATTCTTAGAACAGTTGGCAGATCGGATCGGATATGAAATGATGCAAGTCAGGATGTTTTGGGCCGGAGCAGCGCTTGCAAAAATTGGTGTGAGTTCGGGGGAAAGAAACATTTGACAAGGGAAGAGGACGAAATGGGAACTGATGGGGACTGAACATCCCAGTCGGGTGGAGATGGCTGTCAGCCAAGGAGGCAAAGCACCATCACGAGGATGGTTTTCGTTCCCTACTGGGAGATGAGTGTTTGACAGGAGGAACTGTTCCTGATTTGCTCATGCAGGATTCTGCCCATGGCAGGGTTGGATACGACCATCAGACTCGGCATGTCATCGACCCAGGGTTTCAACATGGCGGCAACAGAGACATAGCAGAAGTGCAACTGATGCATTATTCCTCACCGCGTTGTGTTAAGTGTCGACCAATATGCCGAACAACCATTGTCAAAATCCCTCTCGTCGTTATCAAACCGAAGTGCCTCTTTCTGTCCTCGACTGGTACGTGGCCTCATGCAGGTCCGTCTGTGCACTATGCAACTTGAATTCGCGTAGTGGGTTTGAATGCAACATGGCGATTGACAGGCCAGATTGGTTGGAGCGACGCAAGAGGCGCGAAGGTCATCATCTGTTGCTTCTGCAGGTGTATCTGCAACTCTCAGGGTGAGTGAGCAGCAGCCGCATGAGGGCGGCTTGAGAAAAGCATCGGGCCCTGGTAGGCCAGCAACGGGTAGGAGTTACCTGTTTGTTGATGCTCGTCGCGATGGGCGACTCGGAGAAAATCGAAGGGTCAACAGTTGATGACCAGATCACTAAGCAAAGCTAATCGTTTGGGGATAGCTTCGCCTCTTTGTCATACTTTGATGCCATGGGGTGAACCGTGACGGCGCCGTCGCACGAAGAACCTGTTAATCTTCCAACGGGCTGGCGGACGTTGATCAGAGCTAATACCAGGCTTAGAAGAAAGTCGGCGGCCGCAGTCGTTCAATCAAGAAAGCTCCTGGCCGGCTCCGACGCCCGGGGTTGCGACTGAGTCAAGTTGAGGCTCCCAACCGTAGCAACGAGAATGAAAACAGACTTTAGAGTTATGCCGCGTGGTACTCTCTTTGTTCCGTTGTAAGCGGTAGCAAGCCTCGAAAAAACCCCTCCCTCGGGCGGTTTATCATAGTTCGTGGCTTCCTCAAACGATGAAGGCGCCGCCGAAGCTGTGCTATGATGGCTCGACGCGCACTACCTAGGTATACGGAACACAAAGCCCTGGAATCGATTGCTGCCGTTGTGCTCGTAAACGAGCGCTCCGTGCATACGAACTGGCCTGCCATGCCTGCCAGTCACAGAAGAAGACATAGCCCTGTGTGGGGTTGTGTGGTTGTGTTGCCTTTGATGCTCCATCAGCTCCGACTGTGACATGCTCCCCCACTAGGCGGCCAAGGGGGGTTGAGGAAACGGGGGCGTCAAATACGGGAACATGGGAGAAATAAGGTAATGATCCCATCCCATCCCATCCCATCCCATCCGCAACACGTGTGATGGTTGCCAATGATAGGAGAAATAATGTTTCCTCTGGCATCACGTCGCCATTACCGTCCCGGAACGACGATTTGACAGATGATTTGCGCCAATTGGTGCTGGAAAGACGGACAACGTTGAGTCGTGTGTCCGTACACCATCCCAATATGCACAAAGGGAATCGCCAAACAGGCAATTGTTGACAACGGTATTTGTCCCCTCTCGGAACGCCTCTGTAATTCGAGTGAATTCGTACTTCGTTCACAGTTCGGTGGGCACTCGTAGCTGTGGTCCCAGTGGTTCCAGTGGATCCAGAGAATTCCCTTTCCAGACTAAGGAAAAAAGCAAGCAGATCTCCCAGGTGCTATCGGTCATCTGGCCGATTGAAATAAAATGGAGATGGGAGGGGTCTTTGAGGCTTGGAGGGGGAGCCATCGTCTCCTCTGGGCCTGGGGGTGCGCGGGCGTTCTGAGGCCCAGCAATAAAGAGTGGATAAAGAGTGACGAAGGGACCTTGGCACATGTGTGTTACACCCCTGGCCATCTTTCGTTCTCAGGACCGGAAGCCAGTCAGAGGCCGCCGTTGAACCTGGACATGGAGGAGAAATTCGGCTCCAGTGCCGCCTCAGCGCCCATGTTACCATCGAAGAAAGCCATTTTCGGACGCTGCAGTGAGCCCACACACATCGCTTGACCGCTTTGGCTCTGGCGTTGGCTCTGGACGTGGAGGTAGAACCTGGGCGTCGGCCCATTTTCGAGATGCGGCGTGGCTGTCGATTCGAATCGAATTGATGCCCCCCGCGCAATATTCAAAGGTACGGCCGCCGGTGTCTTTGATTGGGGTTGAAACCAGGCCGGGTCGCTCGGGTCGGGGAAAAGAAGCAAAGAAGGTGTTCAGTATACGGGTCTGAATCTAGGTTAGAAGACGAAGCGAAAGTGTAATCCCCGATGAAGTGGTGCTTGGACGATAGCTGGGTGTATGTACCTTGGAAAGTGGTAGGTGTTGAGCAAAATATGATGTGATTTGAGGTGACTTGGCCTAACTCTTCGGCGCCTTCTTCGTCCCGTCTCTTCTTTCGAGGCTTTAGCTGTGTCCTGTGGTGGCTTTCTCGCAGAATTGCCGCAAGGGGCGGATGGCAGCGATGAAGATGGAGGGGGCGTGGTCAAATGGAGCCAAAGCCGTTGCTGTACCTGCAGAGACGGTTGTCTGCCATCGCTACTCTGGTGCTGTTAGTCGGGCACGGCGTTGCGATGATTCGTCTGGTTTGCATTTTGCCATGTGCTGGTCATCCGGTCGTCCATCATAGCACCGGTCTGGATTTGCTCCCATCGGCACCTTGTCTTGTCATCCCCTAAAGCCGGAGGTGCCGTGGTTGTGGTTGAGCTGATGATGTGCGCTGCTGCTAAGGCATACTAACGTAGTTGACGGCCGAACGCTGTCGCCGAGTCCGTCGAAGAAAGTCAACATCTGGTGCTTTTTCCCTTTGCAAAAGGGAAGTTTCTTGTTCTGAGTCTCTGGCCGTGCATTTCGTCGGCCACTTGCGGGATGCGCCGGGGAAGTGCTCCTGGAGAGTTCCTTCCACCTCTGTGTAGAAAGATACGTATCGTGACCTCCCCGCAACGTCTTACCTGCCTGTTAGGTTGTTACTGGAGGGGGGCTTAGGTAAGATGGAAAAAGGTACGAATACTCCGTACCGGGAAATCAGGTTCAGTCTCAGTGGAGGTGGCCAACAGAAAATTCACTAAGGTACCTATCGCACCGCGATCAAGCACACAACAGCCCAAGGGTACCGTGGTCTCCGTCCCTTACACGATGCACGACACAGCGTGCACTGAACTCTCAGCGCCTCTACTCCCTGCCTTTAGTCCACTTCTGTTTCTAGGTTCTCTTTTGACTTGCAGCAAGCCGACTCATTGCCAGCCCAGATCCACTATTCCAGTCTCAGAACTATCGCAAAACCATTTCGATAAAAGTCAGATTCCCTTTGCTCAAACCATGAGCTTACCTTACCTTACCTTACCTAGAACTTAGAAGAAGGGGTACGAAGTACGAAGTGCGCGCATGAGAGACAAAGGAAAGCAATAGCGAACGTGTGTTTGAGGCCACAGGAAGCGGTGAAGACGTTGCGTTGCCATTGACGGCTGAGGTGCAGCTTCGCGGGTCCTCTAGACTCTAGTATTCTCTGTCTAGTCCTCTCGTGCCAACTTCTGCCTGGCAACCTCGTCAAGCCAACCAGCCAAACAAGCCAACGACCTACTGGCCCGCCGCTAAGGTCATCAAGGAGAAGAAGATGGGCCTGGGCTGTGGCCGCCTGACGACGGCCGAGTCTTAGTGCGAACTGGTACGGGTGTTAGAGCTCGCTAGCATGGAGGAGGGGAGGAGAAGGTGTGGCAGCCAACATCTCACCTTCACCTCACCTCAGCGACGATGACCAGGTGCTACCGTATTACCTAGGTAGGGCTCTTACGGCTACGTACCATACTTCACGGCACGCTAGGGAATCCAATCTGTGCCCTCCTCGATGACCTGGACCTGGGCCACTCGGCCAGGTTGCTCAGGAACTGAGCGGCTTTGAGTGGACGGTTTGCTAGCAGAGGCAGGCTGTTCGGCGCACCCAACTCAGTGCAGACATGGCTGCAGGGCAAAACACCAACCTGTCAGGGCCCGTCTAGTTGCTGCAACGAGTGTGCGTGAATGCAGTACCTCCTGCAGAATGCAGAATGCAGGGCAGCACAGCGACACTGCTGCACGTTGGTTTGGCTACAGACACAACCAAGACCGGCACGGAGTACGGAGGCTGTCAATGCCATCTGGAATTGTCGAGGTGAGTTGAGAATCAGGGGCTTCGTTGATGGGATAGGAATCCAATAGTTACTCCTGACGAAGTGCGGATACCTATGGAACTGTAGGTAGAGCATGGCATTGCTCTGTGTGGACAAAGGTATACGGCGTGTTGTGCCTCAACTAGGAACCCGAATGTGGGCGCATACGAGTTTCAACAACTGTCCCAAACAGTGAATAAAGAGTAGCTAATAACTTTGTTCAGTTCTCCATACTCGTAACCGCCTCACATACACAACTTTGGTTTGACGCGGCTCTCTGGATTGACGTCCTTCATGAACAACAGATAATACTGACCTTTGCTATACATAATATGTACTGTTTACCTGGAGTCATTCCCAACTCTCTGCATGACTGGTCCATGTCTCCTGGGTTCAAGCTGAGGTGTGCTCTGCCAAATCCTGCGACGCGAGGTGCCTCTTTGCTGTGTCCCGTCTGTTTGCCCTGTCCTGTGCATAGGAAAGGTACCTCGCTTTGCATAGTAAGTCGGGTACGGGGACAGGTATCCGTACTGGCTGGCCTCTGCGGGATGAATGCGAGTGCGCTACGGCTGCTGCCCCATCAACCTGAACAGCCCCTGGTCGTCCCTGCCTTGCTTGTCCGGGCCCTGACTGTGACTTCCAGGTTGGAATCACAATCGCACACCCCCTGGTCGTAGCCGTCCCTGCTGCTCCTTCTCCCTCTTTTTCCCCTGGGACTTCCTTCCTCCTCTACGTACCGGTAGTACACTAGAAACTGGCCCCCCCCCCTCCCCGAACCAGTCCAAACCCAACTGAGGTTTTCCCTCCCATACACCCTCCCCCATCCCTGTCTTCTCACCCCCCCCCCTTTTCTCCCATCGCCAACACACCCCGACCGCTGGACCCGACTCGTCGCTTCTTCGCTGTTGTGTATGTGTGTGTGTGTCTGTCCCCAATTCTACTCCCAAATCCACCCATCCATCCCATCCTCTCTTTAGTCTTCCGCGTCGCAACCCCCCTCTTCTTCCTATCAACTCTCTTCCCCCCAAAACCCTTCGAGGCCGTCGTCGTTTCTTGACTTCTGTTTCGTGGTTCAATTCTAGTTGTAGATCTTGCAGATTTGCCTCTGGTCTTGTGCCGTCCGCTCCTTAACATCACCTTCAATTTTCATCTTCGATAAATAGCATTTGTCTTACCTGGTCGACCAGTTCTGTCACGCACGCAATCGTGAACGCCAATTTCGCCCAATTCCCATCGTCAGCGCGCCGCATTCGACATCTTCCGAAAGGTGTTTATTCGCCCATCGACTCTTCCAATTCCTTTTCGCGACATCAAAAACGAAAAGCAGAACCAACTCACTAAACCTGCCACCTTGCAGAATTAATCACCAAACCCGTCATCATCTCGCAAAACGCCCCTGACGCGTCGTCTTCCATCGAGTATCCAACCGATTCTCCATTCTCAATCAACGACGACCACCTCGCATTTGCGCCCTCTTTATGTCCTTCTTTTAGCTGCTGATCAAACCTGTAGCCGCAGAGCGGCTCAGTAAAGCATGGCAACCGCTGTTGGACCTGAGAGTATGATGATAGCCACAAGTACACAGGTTTTGGACGAGCCCTCGATGCAAGCGATTTCTCTTCCGGTAATGCTGGATAATTCTACTTCCTCAACTTCATCATTCTCCGGACCACACTCTCCACGAACGATGCCTCCACTACCAAATCCACCATTCGTTTTTCCGGCAAGGCCCTCCTCGGCCTCTGCACCCTCATCTTTCTCGAGAGCGACTGGGCGTCGCCCGCTGTCTGCCATCGAAATTCAAGACCGATCGACCTTTAACTTGAATTCTGACGCAGCAGATCGACCTTCAAGATCACCAGCGCTTCCCAATTTTACATTCAATCCCGGCGCTTCATTATCACCGGAGACATCCCTTCTGCTTAGCCCGCCTTTATCCCCTCCGCCTGTGTCCCCGAGACTAGCGGCATCACCTGCAAGACCAACCGGAGTCGGACACAGGAGAGGAGGGAGCGAGTTCGTGGGAGGAAGCATTCGTTCTGGAGATTCCATCACCGTAACCGGCACAAGCCCAACGAGATCCGAGAGTGGCTTTGCGTCTCCAAACTTTCAGCTTCCCCCGAAGCCTCCTGGCGGTCGCGGCCACAAACACAGACGCTCGGCTGCGCTCTCAAGCCACGACCTATCACTCATCGTCCAGCCTTCGGCACCCGGTAACCTCAGGGGCAACAGTGCACCTACAAGCCCGGCTGAATTCGATCGACGTTTAGACCATCACAATGCAGGTCTCGTCGAGAAGACTCTGAAGGGCGTTGAATCCGAACCAGCCCTTAGAGTCCCTAGAGAACTTACAAGGCCAGTCACTGCGGATTCGGGTTCATCAAGTGGCAGGACTTCCCCCGCAGCTCGGCCAGTAACGCGCGCTCGTGTTGGCTTCTCTGATACCCTTGAGTTCATCCCGCGTCCGCTATCAATGGTGTCCAGTGATACCTCCAGCACAGTCACAGCCCGGCCAGGAGGTCACTCAGTATCCGGGAGCATCTCGTCCGTTATTTCTATACCGACGACAACCACCCATGTGGAGACTGAGCCTATCGTTCCCCTAGTGCTTACCCCTTCTCGCCAAAACAATGAGTCCAGGCCAAGCACTGCCGGAGCGGTTTTGGAACGGTCCCAGAGCATTCAATCAGTCGGTGCATCGCCAAGGAGGAGAAACTCCATTCCCACCCTAATCAACGTGCCTGAAGCAGGCACTGTCGGCCCCCCGATGCCTAGTCCAACCAAGACGCCCAAGAGGTGGTCATTCTTCGGATTGGACCCCTTTAACGCAACTGCGTCACCACTCCGCACGAGACCAGTGAGCTCCAGTTCTTCAGAGTCTGGATCCAAGCCAACTAGCTCATCTTCCTCGTCTACCTCGGAGCATATTTCGGAATCGTTTGGCACATCTGAATTCTCCGACCACGCCGGCCAGAGGGCAGAAAGCAAGAAGTCGAAGAAGAAGAAGAAGGTCAAGAACTGGGCAGGATCAATTCTTGCACGCAAGAGCAAACCGCGGAACAAGAAGTGCAAAGACTTGGATCTCACGGGCGATTCTGCTCGTCAGTTTGAGACAATCGAGCAAAAGGATGAGCCCCTCACACTCATGGTGGAGCCCGAAGTGCACGTCGAGCCGGTCACACCTACACTTATGGTGACAGACACCTCTAGCCAGCCACAGAGCCTGCAAGAGTGGAAACCGCGCCCTGCCTCAGCCCAAGATGACGCTTCATTCCCCATGATTGATTTGGATGCTGCACTGGGGCCTTTCAACACGCCTCTGGCGAACAACCCAGAATGGGACGCCGCTCAGAAAGCCGCAGCCTCTACCAAGCGCCAGCTACACAGCGCACAGGGTATGAAAGGCTTCAGCGGACCAGGGATGCACTACCACCGCCGTGCTGAAAGCGCCCCTGAGATGGTACCTTTCGATGTGGGCCGTTTTGGCATCCATCGTTTTGGCAGCAGCTCGACAATGGCCGACGTGTTCGAGGAGGATGAAGAAGATGACGAACACCCTGGCAAGTGCGCATCGTTGTACACAAGCAGCCGTGCGAATAGAGGCGAGTTCAACGACAGCGCGGAATCCTCTGGCGACGAGGCAACACCGCCCGCCACCAACAAAGTCCAGCAGCCCATTCTCGACGACACTCCTATCAGTGTTCCTGATGGCACTATCAGCCGTGACCTGGCCACTGGCACAGACGCAATGTTGGTAGATGCCAACATGAGCACAGAGGTGGCGCCTATTCCCCTGCAAGAGGACGTCATTGTAGAAGAGCCCGTTGCCCAGATCCCCGAGTTCCGCACCGGTTCAATCTTCAACGAAAAGGCAGAGTCTACTGGTTCCGCAACCCCATCTCCCCGCAGAATCCTCGCGAGCAAGGACTTGGCCCCTGTCGACGTCAGTCCCCTCCACCTTCCGACTCCTTCGCACGTTCCTGTCAGTCCGTATTCGATGAGCCACGCCTCCTCCTTCCCATCACCCCGTTCGCCCATGTCTTATGACGCTCAGCGAATTTCTACGGCACCATCTTCAGTCAACGAGGAGAACAACTTTCAATCTCTACTTCTCGGGGAGCCTGGCCCAGAAGTTAGGCTCTCTGTAGATATACCCTCATTGACCTCCAGCCACTCGACCATGACAAGGGATAGCTCTTTCGCCACCAGCTCTCAACTGAGGCAGGAGCCTATACGACCCGACCAACAGCGACCTGTCTCAGTATCTTCGGCAGCCTTCGGGCGTCGACGATCCAGCCTTGCCAGTTTGAGCAGACTCATCAGCAGTTCTCATGGAGAACGCAGCAAGCTCTCGATGGAGGTCTCATACGATGGCGAAGGTGACAAGAAGCACAAGTCTAGCAAATCGAAACGACTTAGCCGGATGATGCGATTCTGGAAGCCAAGCAAGGAGGAGACTTCATCCTAGACAACTACGGGCGTCGCATACCAACGAACTAGGGCGACTGGTCGCGATCCAGTCGGCTTCCACCGCATACAACAAATGTGACTTCACGACGCATGTATATGGAATTATTGTACAACTCTTTACACCTTCTCTCCGATCAGATACCTCTGGCGGAAC